TCCTCCTTGACCTCAATCGTGTACCGTGAGACGAGCATAGTCAAGATCGCGATGCCCTCGGTCTCGAAAAACCTGATATATGCGCGTTAGAGTGGGCTGCGAAAGATTGGCAGGCATACGCACCGGCGTCCGAGGCACGACCGAGCGCCAGAGCTGAAGGGCAGGAACGCGTCGCGTGGCCAGTCGCCGTGGAACCGCTCCGGCTTGAATGCGTACGGATCCTCCCAGTAGCGGGCTACGCGACGGTGCATTGTGTCAGTACAGCAAGGTGCAATCGACATGAAGATGCATACGATTGTAGTGCAAGCCTGTGATATTCAGCACGATGGTGCTGCCTTGGGGGACCGGAACGATGACATTATTGCCGCTGCTGTCGGTAGTCACGAGCGTAGCATCCTCAGCGGCGTATTTGGGGACAGCGGCCGCCTGCAAAGCTGCATAAGAATATATGCTTTCTGGCGGAGCTGCGGACAACTTACAGGTGGGAACAACCGGAGTGTTTCATAAAACACACTGAAGTGCATGCATGAGCGGCTGGGGTAGATTCTCAGTATAGTGTACGTACGCGATTGACTCGCTTAGCGAGTTCATCTCTTGGTAGGTCTGTAGTTAACAATCAAGATATCAGCTCCGGACGCCTGAGAACCTGATCTGGGCACTTGCCGGTAGTCTATCATCGGGAATGACGCTCTTGATTTGTCGATATAGCTTCTCCTGTTGCTCGGGATACAGCGCAAGTAGCCCAAACGTGAAGCACAGTGTATGTGCGGTAGTCTGATGAATATTCAGCTACTCGCTTGGCTCAAGCACTTCGTTCAATGCTCACTTCGTGACCAGCCAGCAGGAATATAAAGATATTACCTGGTAATTCAATAAGCGCCGCATCGTAAGAGATCGAAATACAATATTTACCAAGGAGTTCCCGATCCGTAAGCTTCGCCTGACCATCGGACTCCTCCTCACTGGCGTCCAGCAATCCGCTGAACAGGTCATATCGCTCCTCCTTCTTCTCGGCGTATCGTCGAGCATGGATCATCTCCATCATATGTTGCTATGCGATAGTATCAGTATATGGCTTACTGCACCAGCGGTGAAACACATGCCTCGAGCTCCTGGAAGGCCAAGTTGGCCCGCTTCATTCGTTCTGTCAGGCCTAGCTTCAGGAGACAGTCAGGAGTGATGAGCTTGATGAAGACGTCTAATGAGACGTAGTGTAGAGCTTCCTGCAAATTATGTCATGAGACATGAAGGAAAAAGACGACAGGAAGCCCCTTGCCTTGAAGGTCATGCTGTGGCCCGGTAGAAGTTTAGAGTCTTCCTGCCAGGTCATCCGTCTGCCGAAGCCAGCGACACCGATGACGAAAAGTGCGATCTTCACATACATGTCAGTCAAGTTCGTTAGTACTAACGAAGGCATGAGAACCTACCGGCAGCGTGATATCCACCGCATTCTCCACCGTGATGGCCTTCTGTTCCCCCCAGACATTTTCGAACAGGTCGGCCATGATCTTGACAGTCTCTTCCCAGACTAACTTGTTGTTGCGCTAAGCACTACGACGTAAGATGTGAAGACATAGGATAAATGCGATTGAACAGACTTCGGAGAATGCAGGTGCAGCAATCTTCCTGTAGCGCTTCCAATCTTCCCCTTCCGAAGCGATAATATTTTTGCCAAAGAAGGCCAGCGCTCTGTACTGTTTAACTGGCTTTGGGAACTGGGCACGGGACGATGTAATCTCCTGTATTTCGGTGGGTACTGCAGCGAATGCGCTTCAGCTGAATGATGCGTACTTTTATTGCCGCTGCATCAGCAACTATGAATTCATTGTGCGCTTTCGGGAGGACAGAGACCTATTCTCAGGGAAGGTAAGCAGCAGTAGAGATTAACTAAATGCTGTGTCTTGCCGTGGTGATTATGTCCATGCCGTGTTCTTCGAACATAAGATGTTTCCCCCTCCAGAAACTCATCCCACCTCTGGTTATTCCGCGTATTGGTTTTTTGAACCTGAATACGAAGGCGAGCAAGCCCTGCGTCGGGAGGAGCGTGCGGTATCCAGGATGATCACTTGAGAACCATGTCAGCAATATTGTCTCCTGCCATCTCTAAGCTGCCACGCACTGTATGGATTTGATGACTGCGCGGTAGTCGACATATTTCTTGACGCAGTAGAGTAGGAAGATGGACAGCAGGACCGACAAGATAGTGCCCATGTCGTCGAGTAGTGTATCGCACCCGTGAAGGCGTACTCAATTCTCAAGCGGATGGGAGATGGGATGGTTTCGAGCCAGACGGTCGCAGGTGGATGGCTTTTCCGCTGGTGCCGGCCATGGATTACTGTAGCCGTGAGACATGGATCATAAATAGATCTGCGCCTGGCCCGCCATTCCGCCAGCAAGCCCCGCCCGCTTCTAAAACAGGAAGGTCTATTTGTACAAGACAAATAGAGGTCGTTGACAACGGCTGTGAGGCTTAGACAAAGCTTAGAAGGGGCATTTTGCTCAACGCGCTGTATAGTCTGCAAAGAGAAGAATGGGACTCCCCCCCCTCCCGGGAATTGCCCACTAAGCGTCCATGTGTAATTGGGTCCGAGATATACACCGTTGCCTCCCACGTCTCCCTTAAGACCTCAAGCAAACGGTCACACCACGCTTTCTCGTAAGAACTGATATTCATTCTGGCACAATCAGACCGCCATCTTTGGGCTTGTCCTCTCGCTGAAGCGTTGATGATGCTGAAGGCTCTGCCCAGATTCGAAGCGGCTAGGTGGCCAAGCCACGCCTTTGAGGAGTGGCCTGATTGTCCGGAAGATTGGCGGCGAATCACCGATGGCTCAGGCGCGCTGCGGAAAACGTCAGGTCTGTAGGTGGTAATCACAGTGTCTCTGCCAAGCCGTAAATAGAACTGGAAGCCGTACAGTCAGAGCGAGACTGCATGCAGAATTATACAATGGGGTCGGCAACGCCTTCACGGACAGGCTACGGGGGGCGTGCAAATTTGATGAACGGAGGCGTGAATATTTTTCCTTTGACTTAGAGGTACGAGCCATTAACCACGCATGCGGTGTGATAATGGGCCGCGTGACGCATCAAGGGCATGATTGCTTCTAGACTCGAATTTTGACTTCAGCACAGTTTGGTACACTTGGTGAAGTAGTGAAAGCGGGTAACGTAGTCATGAGCAGATGGAGCAAGCTTCCGGATCGTCTTAGCCTCAGCGGATTTCCGACTCGGAGGCGCAGCGGGCATCTCAAGCGTCGCCCGCATAGGCCTCACAGGCGTAGGCATGCATTTAGGCGGCGTCGCAGAGACCTATTTACTCAGGAATCTGCCACTGCAGTTTGACTGGGCCTTACATGAGAGCTCCAACTTTACCCTTCCAATGCGCCCAAATTCCGTAACCCTGCCAATGAGCGTACATCACAAGGGCTATTCGCTCACGAGATCAAATCCGCGGTGAAAATCGGCTGTTTCCGTTTTCTTGGCCAAAGCGTTGAAGAAGCTGGTGGGGTCAACCATAAAGAGGCTGCGCGGGTTATCCATTATTGCCAGGAGAATGCGTCGGAGATGAGAGGCTGTTGAGTTGAACTTGTTGAGCGTAGTTGCGGAGAGGAAGTTAGAAGGAATGCGGTGACTACATGGGTAGCGGACTTGCTTCCGCCAAGATATGTATCTGTGCGACTGACATCTCCGCCAAATGGTAGACCACGTTCAAGCCGTGATTGACAACAGGTCTAGTGTCGTCATTGATTCGGAAGATTGGCTGACGGTCACCCGGGGATCGATTCATCGGAGAGATAGGTCAACATTATAGGGTAGCTCAACTGTAGTGTCTGGCTGTTAGCTACAAATTACCGGAACCTACCTGGAGCTTCGATCCACACACGACCGAAAGCCCTGATCGAACTCTCAGATATTTTCAGGCCAGTGTCTGGGTTAGGTATCGCGTTAAAAAGGGATAAGGTCCGTCGTCCGATACATAGTACACTGATACAGAGCACGGCCCACTACCGCCTCTTGAACACCAGAGGCATCCGGACGGGCCTGACACCGAGATCGTCAGCACACGCCCAATCAGCACAACGAGAAACCCCACTCACATTAATGTCAGGCCCCTTTTTACACGGAGGATACGCTCCTTGCGTTCCTCGAACGACTCCCCCGCGAACTCCGGCTCCGGCTTAATCTCGACAGTGTACCGCGAGACAAGCATGGTCAAGATCGCGATGCCCTCGGTCTCGAAGAATCTGATACACCCTTCGTTAGAGCGGATTATGGTAAGTCGGAGGCACACGCACCGGCGTCCGAGGCACGACCGCGCGCCGGAGCTGAAGGGTAGAAACGCGTCGCGCGGCCAGTCGCCCTGGAACCGCTCCGGCTTGAACGCATACGGGTCTTGCCAGTAGCGGGCTAACGGGAGATGGGTCACGTCAGTGCGGTAAGGCGTAGTTGATGCACGGGAGCGTACGGTTGTAGTGTAAACCGAGGACGCTCAGGCCGACGTCGCTACCCTGGGGGACCGGGACGACGACCTTGTTACCGCTGCTGTCGGTAGTGACGAGCGTGGCATCTTCTGCGGCATACTTAGGGATATTGATCACCTGTAAAGCCGGGTTGTGACATGCATCTTCCAGCGATGCTGCGGAAGGCTTACAGGTGGGAACAACCGGAGTGTCTCATAGAATACACTGAGATATGTGCATGAGCAACTGAGATGAATTTCCACTATAGCGTACGTACGCGACTGACTCGCTCAGCGAGTTCATCTCTTGATAGGTCTGCGACCAAGAGAGAGAGAACATTAGTCTCGGGTACTTGAGAGCCTGATCTAGGCATTTACCGGTAGTCTGTCATCGGGAATGACGCCCTTGATGTGTTGATAAAGCTTCTCTTGTTGCTCGGGATACAACGCAAGCAGCCCAAACGTGAAGCACAATGTATGCGCAGTGGTCTGACAGATCTTCAGCTACCTTCTTGCCACAGGCATATCGTCTAATACTCACTTCGTGACCAGCCAGCAGGAATATAAAAATATTACCTGTTAATTCAATAATAAGTGCCGCATTGTGGGAGATCGAAATACAATATTTACCAAGGAGTTCCCGATCCGTAAGCTTCGCCTGACCATCGGACTCCTCTTCGCTGGCGTCCAGCAATCCGCTGAACAGGTCATATCGCTCCTCTTTCTTCTCGGCGTATCGCCGGGCATGAATCATTTCTAGCATATATCGCTGCGCGATAGCATTAGTGCACAGCTCATTGCCACAGCGTCCGAACACATGCCTCGAGCTCCTGGAAGGCCAAGTTGGCCCGCTTCATGCGCTCCGTCACGCCCAGCTTCAGGAGCCAGTCAGGAGTGACGAGCTTGACAAAGACGTCTGATGAAACATTGTGCAGAGCTTCCTGCAAATCATGTTATGAGACATGAAGGAGGTTGACGACAGGAAGCCCTTTGCCTTGAAGGTCATCTTGTGACCTGGGAGAAGTTTGGAGTCTTCCTGCCAGGTCATCCGTCTGCCGAAGCCAGCGACACCGATGACCAAAAGCGCAATCTGCGTACGAAAGTCAGCAAAGATCGTTGACACGAACAAGAGCCTGAGGGTTCACCGGCAGAGTAATGTCCACCGCATGGTCTACTGTGATGGCCTTCTGTTCTCCCCAGACATTCTCGAATAGGTCAGCCATGATCTTGACAGTCTCCTCCCAGACCAGCCTGTTGTTGCGCTGAATACTACGACGTGAGGGGTGAAAGCACAGGACAGATGCAGATAGACGAACTTCGGAGAATGCAGGTGCAGCAATCTTCCTGTAACGCTTCCAATCTTCCCCTTCCGAAGCAACAATATTTTTGCCAAAGAAGGTCAGCACCGCGTACTGTTTCACTGGCTTTGGGAACTGGGCACGAGACAATGTAATCTCCTGTATTTCGGTGGGTACTGCAGTAGATATGCTCCGGTTGGGAGATGCGTACCTTGATTGCTGCGGCATCAGCAACCAGAAATATGTTATGTGCCTTTGGGAGGACAGAGATCTATTCGTAGAGAAGATTAGGAGAAGTAGAGAAGAGCTGTATTCTTTGACTTACCGAGCTGACTATATCCGTGCCATAGTCTTCGAAGTCTTGGTACTTCCTCTTCCAGCCATTCGACCCACCTCTGGTTATTCCGCGTATCGGCTTCGTGGATATAAACGCGAGGAGGCCCCGTGTTGGGAGGAGCGTGCGGTATCCGGGATGGTCACTTGAGACTATCGTCAGCAATATTGTCCCATGTCACTGCTGGCCTGCTACATACTGTATGGATTTGACAAGTGCACGGAAATCGATATATTTCTTGGCGCAGTAGAGCAGGAAGATGGATAGCAGCACCGACAAGGTGGTACTCATGCCGTCGAGCGATGTGTCGTAAGTGTGTGGGGGCAAAGTCAATACCACGCCCCTCAAACGGGCAGTTATAAGAGCGGCGACGTTGGTGCCGGAGACTGTCGCTAAGCATCTATGTGTAACCGGATCTGAGACATGGAGGCACCATCGCCCCCTTTAGACATCTTCCAGAACCCGAGCAAACGGCCCCGCTGCCTCGATCGCGAGTTGTCCCACGAGAGCTGGTGTCCAAACCAATTGGTGAGAACGAGAACGTGGCAGAAGTTTGATATGTCTGGGCAAGTCGTCTTTTTGCCAGGCCTCCAAGCGTTAATTTCACCCTATCCAGGTCCAAGCTAATTCAGTTGTTAGGCTTGCGAAGAATTGCCTAGTACTGAGCAGTGAATGGTATGAGCAAGCGCGGCGAAGACGTGCCTAATCGCCCAGATGATTGGCGGCAAGCTGGAGCAACGGCGCCTCAAAGTTACTCTCAAAGTCCGACTGCTTATTCCGACCCAAAGAGCAGTCCTCAGGTCACTATTTTGTCGGCATCCGACGGCATTTGTATCTGGCACAGAGCTGCGGAAAACACCGGTGTGTAAAAAACCGCTTTATTTCGTGAGATACGGCCAGAATGACATTCCCAAGCCGTAGAAGCATTAATGCTGTAAGTCACACAGTCGGAGCAAGGTTACATTCGTAATAGCCTGCGGGAACTGTAACCTGACTCGCAAGTTGGCATTTGTACAGTACGAGCTCGAGGTTGTTGCATACCTTGATTTCATATTCACTCCCCCCTTGCTCACAAGCAACCAACGAGTAAATTCAAGCTGTCTCTGGACTGTTATCATTACTCTTGTTGTGCTCAAGTTGTCAGTACTAACCATCGCATGAGTCACACGCCGACATGTCGACATGACTCATGGCCAACACAATGGATGGTCGCGACGAAATGAGCAGCCGGCGTCCTGAAGGGTGGTTACTAACTGTTGAACCTCATCCTCGTGTAAGACCGTGACCAACGAAGGCGTGGTTATGTAATGTATAAACGTGAAAACTCTGCGAGTAGAAAGTTTACACCTTGGTGGTGTTGAAGAGCAGCTGCACACAGAACCGTCGTCCGGCCACTTCAGAAGGTCTGTAATCTAGCAGCGTCACTGAGCCAGAGCCGTCAGCATGACCGCTATGATCTGCCATTAGCTATGCAATACCGGATCATGGACTGAGCTCGCCGCCAGGTGCCGGGCCTTTCTAATATATTCTTGTACACTCCGCCCGAGACTGTCAAGTTCGCAAGCGACCATAAACCCTGATGAACGTTTTAGTCACTCACGGCTTAGTGCTTGGACTATATATTGAGATCAAGAGAAAGCTCGAATGTCAGATACATAGTATACTGATATACGGCAAGCTTTGCTACCGCCTCTTGAACACCAGAGGCATCCGGATAGGCCTAACGTCAAGACCGTCAGCATACTGTCCAACCAACACAGTGAGCATCGCACTCACGTTAACGTCAGACCCCCCTTTGCATGGAGGATCCGCTCCTTACGCTCCTCGAATGTCTCTCCAGCGAACTCTGGCTCCTCCTTGACCTCAATCGTGTACCGTGAGACGAGCATAGTCAAGATCGCGATGCCCTCGGTCTCGAAAAACCTGATATATGCGCGTTAGAGTGGGCTGCGAAAGATTGGCAGGCATACGCACCGGCGTCCGAGGCACGACCGAGCGCCAGAGCTGAAGGGCAGGAACGCGTCGCGTGGCCAGTCGCCGTGGAACCGCTCCGGCTTGAATGCGTACGGATCCTCCCAGTAGCGGGCTACGCGACGGTGCATTGTGTCAGTACAGCAAGGTGCAATCGACATGAAGATGCATACGATTGTAGTGCAAGCCTGTGATATTCAGCACGATGGTGCTGCCTTGGGGGACCGGAACGATGACATTATTGCCGCTGCTGTCGGTAGTCACGAGCGTAGCATCCTCAGCGGCGTATTTGGGGACAGCGGCCGCCTGCAAAGCTGCATAAGAATATATGCTTTCTGGCGGAGCTGCGGACAACTTACAGGTGGGAACAACCGGAGTGTTTCATAAAACACACTGAAGTGCATGCATGAGCGGCTGGGGTAGATTCTCAGTATAGTGTACGTACGCGATTGACTCGCTTAGCGAGTTCATCTCTTGGTAGGTCTGTAGTTAACAATCAAGATATCAGCTCCGGACGCCTGAGAACCTGATCTGGGCACTTGCCGGTAGTCTATCATCGGGAATGACGCTCTTGATTTGTCGATATAGCTTCTCCTGTTGCTCGGGATACAGCGCAAGTAGCCCAAACGTGAAGCACAGTGTATGTGCGGTAGTCTGATGAATATTCAGCTACTCGCTTGGCTCAAGCACTTCGTTCAATGCTCACTTCGTGACCAGCCAGCAGGAATATAAAGATATTACCTGGTAATTCAATAAGCGCCGCATCGTAAGAGATCGAAATACAATATTTACCAAGGAGTTCCCGATCCGTAAGCTTCGCCTGACCATCG